ACCCGCTTTAAGGACACTGACTGCTATTCAATCTATAACAGTAAAAAAAGTTTTTTGTTTTTAAATCCAAGCTATTGTGTCACTAGATCTAATTAGTGGCACTTGTCAGCGTATCCACTGTTAGCGTAACACACCCGCTTTAAGGACACTGACTGCTATTCCACCCATAACAGTGAAAAAAGATTATTATTTTTTTTAAATCCAAACTATTGTGACACAGGATCTAATTAGTGGCACTTGTCAGCGTATCCACTGTTAGCGCAACACACCCGCTTTAAGGACACTGACTGCTATTCAATCTATAACAGTGAAAAAAAGTTTTTTGTTTTTTAAATCCAAACTATTGTGACACCAGATCTAATTAGTGGCACCTGTCAGCGTATCCACTGTTAGCGTAACACGCCCGCTTTAAGGACACTGACTGCTATTCAATCTATAACAGTGAAAAAAGATTATTATTTTTTTTAAATCAAAACTATTGTGACACAGGATCTAATTAGTGGCACTTGTCAGCCTATCCACTGTTAGCGTAACACACCCGCTTTAAGGACACTGACTGCTATTCAATCTATAACAGTAAAAAAAGTTTTTTGTTTTTAAATCCAAGCTATTGTGACACCAGATCTAATTAGTGGCACCTGTCAGCGTATCCACTGTTAGCGTAACACACCCGCTTTAAGGACACTGACTGCTATTCAATCTATAACAGTAAAAAAAGTTTTTTGTTTTTAAACCCAAGCCATTGTGACACAGGATCTAATTAGTGGCACTTGTCAGCGTATCCACTGTTAGCGTAACACACCCGCTTTAAGGACACTGACTGCTATTCAATCTATAACAGTGAAAAAAGTGTTTGTTTTTTTTTAAATCCAAGCTTTGTGTCACCAGATCTAAGTGGTGGCACTGGTCACCGTATCCACTGTTAGCGTAACACACCGGCTTTAAGGACACTGACTGCTATTCAATCTATAACAGTGAAAAAAGATTATTTTTTTTTTAAATCCAAGCTATTGTGACACCAGATCTAATTAGTGGCACTGGTCAGCGTATCCACTGTTAGCGTAACACACCCGCTTTAAGGACATTGACTGCTATTCAATCTATAACAGTGAAAAAAGTTTTTTGTTTTTAAATCCAAGCTATTGTGACACTAGATGTAATTGGTGGCACTGACTGGGGAAATGGGCACTGTGAGCCTGACACAGAAGCTGGCAGCAGTGGCAGACAACTAAGTGCATTTACATTAGATAGAAAAAAATAATCCAAAAAAAGCATACCCTTATCCCTAACCTAGCTATGCTTTTCCCTATCTTATGAACAGCAGCTACACTTTCCCTCCTCTTACTAAGCATGCAGCTTGAGAATGAATCTAAAATGGATGCTGTCCAGTGGGTGGGAGGGTCTGCTAGGGAGGCTGTGCTGCTAATTGGCTGGAATGTGTCTGCTGACTGTGAGGTACAGGATCAAAGTTTACTCAATGATGACGAATAGGGGGCGGGTCGAACCGCGCATATGTTCGCCCGCCGTGGCGAACGCGAACATGCTATGTTCGCCAGGAACCGTTCGCCGGCGAACCGTTCGGTACATCACTAATCATGGACTGTTGAGGAACAAAGGGGAATATTTAGCCAGGTCCCAGGTATGTGAAGACTTTGGAGCTGCTTTCAGCCCATCCTGTCCGAGAGAATCTGGTGGAAGTCTCAAAACCTGTAAAAGACCAGCAGTCCCTTGGAGATCCTGGATAGGATGCGTTGTTTCACCATGGAGATTGATGAGTGTGAGGGACAGACGACAGTAGTAATGAATATTGTGCTTCTGTAGGAGAAAAGTTAGTGGTCTGAGGGACCTCCGTTAGGCTAAAGTGCTGCCAGATAAATCAGCATAGAAGGAGAGTGATGTTCTCAAATGGATATGGAGAATTCACTCTCAGAGCAGCTAAGGCAGCTGCCTTGTCAGTTCCATTCCAGAAATGGACTACCAGTGCCCCTTTCTTGGCCTGCTACAGTGACAGCAAGGCCACCAATAAGCACCACATAAAATGTGGTCTGACATGTTCCTGGACAGCGAAGCAGCTTTCATGTGTTAGATTTTTCTGCTTTAGCTCCTGCGCTGCTTGTTAGAGTGACACTATTTGCTGTGCAACTTTGTTTTAAGCACCCTTTAGCACTCCGAGTCGGCCTGTCAGGATCTGTAGGTCTCCACAGATCATAGCAACATCGTCAAGGATATTTTTTTGCAGGTCTGCCAGGAGCTCCCGTAAGACAGATGTCAGCAACGGAGAGGAGTCTGAGCCTGCAGGGATTGATGGTGGTTTCACCAAGACAGGTAAGCTTACTTCCTCCACCTCGTAGGATAGCTCATCTGAGATGTCTGAGCAGCCTCCAGAGAGAGAGGCCATCATGGGTCAAAGGTCTCCAATCATCAGACCCATTTGGGCTTGTATGTTTTTTGCATTTTGGTTTGCACCCCATGATGGCAGAGCTATCTAGGGGGGTCAGGTACCCCAAAGCTTGGTTGGCAAGAGTGATGAGCTATAAAACAGAGTTTTTACAAGTTCCAGCCCCCTATTGCAAGTGTTTTAATTGCTAGTGGAAAGTCTCTTCAGTCCCCAGAGTCTCATATTTCTCTACTAGGCTAAAATTGTTCATCCATGGTAAATTTATATATTCTGCTCATGTGTTTTCTTACAGGTAGATATTGTTCTGTGTTTCCTGTAGCTGAATTTTACTCATAGAGATGCATTGATTCAATGCATCTCTATGAGGAGGTGCTGATTGGTCAAAATGGTGTTTGGCCCAGCCCCTTGCCGATTTTTGCCAATTGGATTTAGCAAGTTCGATTATGTCACCAATGGGGTGGGGCCAGCACCGGCAGACCCATGGAGAGCTGAAAATAAGGTGAGTTTTAACCCATTCTGAGAGGGCTAAGGGGGGGCAAGCGACCTAAATGGTGGGTTTCCACTATAGGGTCAGGAATACATGTGATCCTTTCAGCATGTATTGAGAACGATTAACTCTGATTGGAGGAGTTTATAAAGAGAGACTTTTTTTAATACCTGGATCAGCTCTGCATTAAAGAAGTCTACACAGACGAAACCGGTCAGTTTACAGGAGCCGTTGAAGTCTGGATTTCTGCAGTAACCACTCCATCAGAAGGGATTTGAACATATTGCAAGTGACAGACTGCAGATTGATCCTATGGTTGGGACACCACTAACAGCTCCATAGCACAGGTCTTGTAGACCGATCGATATGCCTCTGTGACCACTCTCAGTGGTCCAGCATTTGTAAAGGCAATACTTAACTTTATATTAGATTGGTATTTATGTTTTTACACTATGTAGTGTTTATTATGTGTTTTTAAAGTGATTAAAGATTGAAAGAACTGAATACCCATGTATATAAAAATCCATGTGGATTTGAAGACATCCTACCAAGAAAAATAACTAAGTATAAGTTTTTGCATATATTTTTTCTCACGCTTTTCACTGAGTGTACTTCCAGAGAGCAGTGGGATTTTTATTTGATAGGGTATGACTGCTTTTATTCAGCAGTGTCTGGAATTTCAGGGCTGGTTCCAGCCAGGTATCTGAAAGTTATACTTTTGTATTAAATCCGGCTGGTGTGTGCGGAGTACTACTGCACCTCTCTATGTGGGTTCTGTAGTGTGGTGAGGTTTGCAACAGTAGTGTGCATAGTTCGTGGTTGGTTTTGCACTACTGCAGTACGGTTGTTCCCTTCCCTGTGGGTTCGTCCCCTTGGCCGTGTGGGTTGTATGGCATGAGTAATCGTCAGGTGTAGTATGGTAGGGCGCCTGTGGTTGTATTGTGATTCTTGCGGAGCTGAGTGTCTACGTGTATTGGCATTTGTGCGGTCAGTTGGGTCAGATCTGGGGTGGTAATTGGCTCCTGGGCTTAGGTAGTTTGTCTAGTGTCGGCTAAAGTATCACATGGCATCATTGTGTCATTCAAATCATTTCCTTCTTTCCCCCCTCCCCCTTCACATCCCTCTAGGATCTGTATTGTCTGCCGGGAGTACATCTGTAGGTGATGGTAGTGGCAACTGCCAATATGCAGTTCAATACTGTAACCATTGCCTATGAGATAACTTATGAGAGCTGCGTTGGGTTGCGTGTTGTGGTCGGGGCTCCCATACAGTGTTATGCCCTTCTACGTCTCTCTTTTTTTATTATTTCCCCTTCTCCTCCCACCCTCTCCTTCCCTGTCCCCCTTCCCCCCTCCTCTCCTCCCCCTCTCCCCCCCCGCCTGTGTTGTCCTCTTCTGCCTTCCCCTATTCCACCTCTGCTCCCATCCCCCCCTTCGCTTTGTGTCCCCGGGGATGTAACCCCCTTCTGCCCCTCTCATTCTATGTGGTCTCCCTAAAGTTCACCCCCTTTCCCTCCCCTCTCCTCCCCCCTCCTTGGTTTCTTATCGGGTGCTGTGCAGGGGCACTGTCATTCTTTGTCTCTCCCCCCTCACGTGTCTGCCCTGTTATGGCATGCGATGTGGCTTGGCATGGGGAAGTTAGTGGGGTGTTATTTAGCATTCCAATGGGAGGGGTTTGGTGCATCTCTAGTCTTCCATTTTGGTGCATCTCTGTGTATTCAGCGGACTGTGTGTGTATGTATTCAGCAGACTGTGTGTGTATGTATTAAGCAGTCTGTGTGTGTGTAGTCAGCAGTCTGTGTGTACTCAGCAGTCTGTCTGTATGTGTATTCAGCAGACTGTGTGTGTGTGTATTCATCAGTCTCTGTATTCAGCAGTCTTGTGTGTGTGTATTCAGCAGACTGTGTGTATGTATTCAGCAGTCTGTGTGTGTATGTATTGCATTTGTTGGAGATACTAATAAATATAAGCTTCATTTTATCTATTTATATCATTATTTAAAATTTGTATCATTGAACTCTCTGTTGTTGTGTTCTTTTAAAACAAAAGTTGTTAATTAGTTCGGACAACAGTACGAGTTGTTTTTTCTAAACTTAAACCTCAGTATTGAGGTTTAATTGCCGTGTTGGCACTTTAAGGAAAAAAAAGTTGGCATGTATTGCGGTTTGGGCACTCGGGCTCAAAAAGGTTCGCCATCACTGCCCTAGATGGGCATCCTCATGCTTTGAAGGAGTCCCATGTCACCGTCGTGATCCTTAGCCCTCCTCCCCAATAAAAGTGTGCCCCCCCATTGCGGTGCTGGCCTGTGGTAGGTGTGTGACTGGTGCCCTCAAATGGGAAGATGTTACTCACTGATAGTTGCGGTGCATGCTGTAGGCGGGGTATGTTTCTTTTCTTCGGGTTGCGGTGTTCAGCCTTATCTTTTACTCCTCTGGCCTGGAGGGACTAGGGTGGTGGTAGGCCGTTGAGTTGCCAAAGAAACTTGTGTGTCAGGCAGCTCAGTACCTGCGCAGGAGGGTGTCCCAGCAAGCGTTGAAAGCCAGGGATGTTGGCCGGTGTCCTGATCATGTATGTCATCTGGCCCCGGCGTGCTTATAGGGAGAAG